TGCTTTCATTTTTCACAAGTGCCTTTTGCTTGATCTATTCCTGAGCTGCGTGCGTGCGTGCGTGCGTGTGTGTGTGTGTGTGTGTTTGAGTGTTTGTTTCACTCTCCTCTCTCCCCTCTCCTCCTACTTTCTTAACCCCTGTCACAAATAATTCCTCTGCCGCCTACATGAAACCAACATGTAAAAACATCCGTCGCATCCTGTTTTTGTCAGGTTCTTTAATCTGCTCTTCGAGTCGCTGCAGGTTATGAAATGGGACGAATAAAAGTAAACAGTCTAGTAAAAGTCAATGCAAGCTGCACGTGTTGTGTCTGGGTCACTGGTAACTGACATTGATATGGCTAGGGCGCTCTGGCTTCTCCCTCTCGCTCTCCCTCCCACTCGCCCACCTCGGCGATCAGGGCTTCCCCCTCCCTCCCCACCTCTCCACCCCCTTCCATTTATTTTCTGCTTTGCTTCCCGTCTCTCTCTCTCTGTTCCCCTCCTCCACGCTCACCCCCTCTCCATCTCCACAGTGTCTCCGTTGCTCCTGCTGACTGCTTTCCTCCCCCTACCCCGTTGCTCTCTCCTTCACCTCCCCACTCCTGTCTCTTCGCAGCTGGGAATTGCTGGCTCCGCCAAGCGAAGAACGGCCGCTGCCAGGTCCTGTACAAGACAGAGCTGAGCAAGGAAGAGTGCTGCAGCACCGGACGCTTGAGCACCTCCTGGACCGAAGAAGACGTGAATGACAACACACTCTTTAAATGGATGATTTTCAACGGGGGCGCCCCCAACTGCATCCCTTGTAAAGGTAAGACTCTTCCTCTCCACCTTAGGCCCTCAGTAGAGGGCGTCTAACCCTCTTTTTCAGCGCTAACTACCTGGGGCTTGGGACTAGGAGAGCTTTGTTAGTGGACTCAATCGTCTATCCCCCAGCCCTGGTTAGCTGGGTTGAATCCAGCCTGTTAGAGCTGTAGGCAAAACAAAGTCTGCAGTGGTCCCTGTACTTCTGAGCTAACTGGTAGTGAACCCAGCCAACCTGTGCTGTTTGAGAGAGGTTTGAGAATCGGGCAAATCCCCCCCACCCCCACGCCCAATCCCCCGTCCCCACCCCCACGGCCTCTCCCAGTCTTCTAAGAGAGAGCCTGGGCCCCTCTAGTGAGAACTCAGGACTGCATGGCTGCGTGATTGCACAAGGCACCCGCAACCCTCCCGGCTGACCTGTGGACTGCCTGGCCTTGGTTGCAATCCTTGTATCCTTCCAACTCCTAGAAACGTGTGAGAACGTGGACTGTGGACCAGGGAAAAAATGCCGAATGAACAAGAAGAACAAACCTCGCTGTGTCTGCGCTCCAGATTGTTCAAACATCACCTGGAAGGGTCCAGTCTGTGGGCTGGATGGGAAAACCTACCGCAACGAATGTGCACTCCTCAAAGCCAGATGTAAAGAGCAGCCAGAGCTGGAAGTGCAGTACCAGGGCAAATGTAAAAGTAGGTCCCACCCTTGAGCAAGAACCTGCCTTCTCTCCTTTAGCTTTTTCTTTAGTCCTCTGGGAAAGCCTTCTGGGATAGTATAGTCTACACAAGAGCCTAATGATAATAATGATACCAAATAAACCCCTTTGGAATCATGAAGAGTTCTGGAAGGAACCAACCCAGAGTCACAGATTTTTTCTTTTGAAAACCCCCAGGCTCCTAAATATCTTTTGCAAAATGGATGCTTCAGTTTTTCATGATACTCTCACATGCTTGCTCTCCATTACCTATTGAAGATTGTTTCCTTCTTTCTTTTTTTTTCAGAGACCTGTCGGGATGTTTTCTGTCCAGGCAGCTCCACATGTGTGGTGGACCAGACCAATAATGCCTACTGTGTGACATGTAATCGGATTTGCCCAGAGCCCACCTCCTCTGAGCAGTATCTCTGTGGGAATGATGGAGTGACATATTCCAGTGCCTGCCACCTGAGAAAGGCCACCTGCCTGCTGGGCAGATCGATTGGATTAGCCTATGAGGGAAAGTGTATCAGTAGGTATTCTGGATTGAGAAAGGAAAAAGAGATTACAAAGGATCGAAAAGGCTAGTTTTTGTACTGAAACTATAGGGTTAGCAAAGACTAAAGCCCAAGGTCTCCTCCAGTGAGGAGGGAGAAATGCTCTCCAGTTTGGGAAAACTGTTGTGACTACAGAGTTCCTCATGTAAACCCATTGTCTTTTGGAAGCATTGACTTATGTACTCAGATGCCAGGAAGAATCGGGAAACAATATTCCATCTCAGAAAACTTAGAACTCACACAATTTTACACATTTTTTAAAAGTGCCAGACATGCTAGAAGCAAAAAATAATTACTTAACAGTTCCTAAAATCTGTTATCAGGGACCAGCAATTGATGGAATTTTTTTTTTTTAAAGATACCACTTTGTAGGAAATAATCAGATGCATATTTAACTCAAAGATACCATAAAATCCTGTTCCAAAATATGCTATTTTCCTGTACTACTGTAAGAAGAAACTGTAGAGTGTGTGTATGTGTGTATGTGTGCTTGAATGTTAAATCAAATACCTTTACATAACATCTTCATTGCCCCATTGTGAATAATAAAATATAAAGTATGTGTTCATATTCATTAGTAAAGAACTAAAGAAAGGGACAAGAGGGGGAAATGGAGCAATCAGTTCACTTATCACAGATGTATTATATCCTAGAAGCAAAGTCCTGTGAAGATATCCAGTGCAGTGGTGGAAAAAAGTGTTTATGGGATTTCAAGGTTGGCAGAGGCCGGTGTTCGCTCTGTGATGAGCAGTGCCCTGACAGTAAGTCGGATGAGCCTGTCTGTGCCAGTGACAATGCCACTTACGCCAGCGAATGTGCCATGAAGGAAGCTGCCTGCTCTTTAGGTGTGCTGTTGGAAGTAAAGCACTCCGGATCTTGCAATTGTAAGTGCAATTTTTAACTCTGCTGCAATTTAAGGCTTTCCCAAGCAAGCCCTAGGAAATGAACACTTTAAAAAGCACGCAAACCTCCCCATGCAAGCCCATTTCTGTTTAAGTAAAGTAGCGGCTCAATTTCACCATCAATTCAGTGATCTACAGAATATTCTCTGCAATGTTTCCCAGCTTTTAGGACTTATCTCGTGATCAATTAGGTTACCTTAGTGAAACACCTATATCTGGTTGTTTGCCCCTAATTCATTTGCTTTAGTAATGTGCTTTGCTATTTTCTTTATTAACACTTGAATCTAAACTAACTTCTTCAACAGTCTTTTTTCCCCCAAAAGACAGCTGTATATATATTATATATATATATGGGCTGCTGCTTTTTGCAGTTGCCTATACTAACTCTGAATTAAGGACCCAAAGCAGTTATACCTAGAACACAAGAGCGCTTTTTATCTAATTTCAGGAATCTGCCTGTAAAACCTGAGCCATTGATTCTTCAGAACTTTCTGCAGTTTTTTGACTTCATAGATTATGGGTTTTTAAAAATTTAAACTTATTACATAACAGCAGATGCCAAAACAAATAAAAGCATCTCACTGCAAGTTACATAAAAATGCAACGCTGTAATATGGCTGTATGAGAGGGCTTTGAAAACATGCACTCAGCTGCTTCTGCGCTGTTGTTGTCCATATTTAAACAACAGCTCCCCTGTATTCCCCCATCTAGCCATTTCGGAAGACACCGAGGAAGAAGAAGAAGATGAAGACCAGGACTACAGCTTTCCTATATCTTCTATTCTAGAGTGGTAAACCCTCCACCAGTGTTCATGTTCACACAGGCTTTGAGTAAAACAAAAAAAAAAAAAAAGAAAGAAAGAAAAAGAAAAAATATATTGTCCATACTGTAAATAAGTGTATGCTTATTTATTTGGGGGGAAAACTATACATTAAAGGACCTTTGTCCTAAAGCTCTCTCCCAGGCCACCTTGTTACTCATTGGGCATGGAGAGGCAGTCATTGTGAGGTCCACTGGATGAGGCCCATAGTTGAAACTTGTAGACATTTATTTATACTGTGTCATGTTTTATAATTTATACATAAAATGTCTGGTTGACTGTACACCTTGTTTTTTGAAGAAATTTATTCGTGAAAGGAAGCGCAGTTGTTATTTATTGTGAGGTCTCTTGCTTGTAAAGTAAAGGCTTTTTTGTCCCCTTGTAAACCATTTAAATCCATTCCTTACTATCCACTCACAAATCTCCCTTCATTTTCTCCCTTCATTTCACTGTTGTTAGATTCTTTTCCACTTTTAACAAACTTGCATGTTCGTTTCTGTCATGTTTATTTATTGGATTCTCTGCTGCCTGATCTGTACATACATGATCCTCGGGTTTTGTTTACAAGGAATCTTGACTGACCAAAAGGCATTATAACTCTGACTCAAATGCAAGGTACAGAGGACATGCATCTTTGAGGAAACTCCTACTTCATTTCTCCTGTGCTGATGAGGCCATTTGTGGGAGAGGGTGTGAGAGCAGTGTTTGAATTCTGTTAATGTACTTTTAAGATGTTACAGATCCAAAGAAATGGAGTGATGTGGGTGTCTGGAGACTAAAGAAAGGCAAAGGCTACACATTTAACCTTCTATTAGGTGTTTCCTTTAAGCTAGTCAGCTGTACCTTTTAAATTCTTTTTCAATCAGTGTGTCACTAAAAGTTCTATCAAAGATTTATCAGTTCAAGTTTCTTGCTTTTCATAATACTTTTTTCTGATGCAATTTTATATTTTCAAACATGGCAAGTTAAATATAAATTCATTTAAATATATAGTTTTGTACTTTTTTACCATGTAAATGTGCAATGTATATAAAAGTTATAATGTGTATTTGTAAATAAATGATGAGTGAAAAAATAAAAAAATTTTAAAAAGCCAATAGTCCCATTTTTTTATGCAAAACAAGTTGTTTCGACTTTTGAGTAAAAATGTACATTTCCTGAAGATTATAGTTATCACCGAAATGACAGTGGCCACAACAGTCAGAAATCCAAAAGGAGGTAAATTATAAATCATCTCAGTGGAGATTGAAAAATAAAGGTCCAACAACCCCTTTAGAGGAGTGACATGTGTGTGACACTAGCCACAGAAGGAACAGACTTGTAGATGTGAATTCCTCTCTAGATGGCACCAAGCCTGTTTGCCTGTAAAAACACTCTTAGCTGTCCTTGTTAACACAGCCATGCACCCCCTATATCCTACTGTCCTCATCTAAGTGAAGTGGGTCTCAAATCACTACAACATATATCACAAAAAAAATGAAAACAGGCTGATAACATTTGACAAACATTCTAGAAATCAGAGTGTCAACTGCATAATACTGAAATTCTTGAGACTTGATGAGATGATTAGAGTGAAGGTAGATTTCCACAATGATGTCCATCATTCATGAGGATCAAACAATAACACTCAAAGTAGGAAAAAGGCTGTTAATGTCTTACAGTTTGCTATACATTACTAGACCCTCAGAATGGCATTGCAGGGATCAATTAGTGGTCCCTATAATACAACCTAGTACAAAGGATACATAAGGAAATCATCTAACCAAGATTCCAATTCATTGTATTTCATACTCAAAGCCTAATTATATTAAAAAATATAAGGGGCCAGGAATTTAGCTCAGTGGTTTTGCCTCCTGCTGCACAAGCGCAAGGACCTGAGTTCGATCCCCGGTACCAAAAAAAAATTAAAAATTAAAAAAATATATCAAAGAAATGCAAGATGAAAAGAAGGGAAACAACTGGGAGGGAAAGAGCAAAGATATCAACACAATAATGTTATCAACACTACTAAATAAATATGTTCTTTATTTCAAAAAACATGACCAAATTCTTTTAAATAGTTCATCATCTCTTTTGTGAAAGTTCTCTTGAATATGTATAATGCTAAAAATTACCTTCAGAAATTGTTGGTCACCAAGTGAGAAATTTGGTGGAGGCAAACAAGCCTCTTATGTAGGCAGATTTTTATTTAATGATTAGGAGTCTCTAAGGGTTTTGTTACCTTTTCGGCTCTGGCTTCTCAGAAAAGGTGGGAAAGGAGGAGCTGAAAACAAAACAGGATTCCATTAACCATGTGCAGGTCTAAGAAGAGAGTTTAACTTAATCCAGTGCTGATGAGCTACTGGCTTGCCATTTAGACAGAGGTCTCAGGAAAGGACCAGGGCTGGGCAGGCACGGTTTCATAGCCCTTCCTGAGCTGATTTGTTGCTTGGTTCTGCAATGCTACTCATATTAAAGCTTCATTGACAATCAGAGCAAAAACCAAATTTAGCAGGAACTTAGGTGTGTCTTAGCAAGAGTGATAAAATCAACAGCTTGCCTTTTAAACATTCATATTATTTATTTAAAATTTTACTTGGTATTTGTCAGCATCAACCATTTCTCTTAAATACCAGTATCTCATTTTCCTTCTTGGAATTTCATACTTTTCTAGTAATCTTACATTAGCCTAATTAATATCAAAAAATAGATATCAGTGTGTGTGTGTGTGTGTGTGTGTGTGTGTGTGTCCTTGATACTGGGGATCAAACCTAGGGCCTCATATATGCTAGACACCAGGAATTGCAAAATATATAGTGATAGTGAAAAATCAATTAAAAGTCTGGTTTTCATCAGATGTTCACCTCAACTAAGAGTTTTGTATACTGTATGGGATATGGTACCTCAAATATGGCAAAAATAAAACCTGGCTTAATTAAAATCATCCTCAAACAGAAGAGCTAAATGTGGTACCTGACCCTAGAACAGATCTTGTATCTAAGGAAGAAAATACAACATAATAAGTAAGTAAATAAATAAATAAATGTATGTTGCATCAATATTAAATTTACTGAAATTAATCTCTATACTATAGTTATGTAAAAGGTCAAAACGTATGTAATTTATCTTTAAATGGTTTGGTAAGGTTTTATAGGTTTTAGCCTATGTTTCATATATTATGCATTCAAAGAGAGTGCAAAAATAATAGAAGAAGTAGAAAATGTTAACAATAAGTAAATCTGAGTAAGATCAAGAGGAGTTTTTAGAACTGTCTTTTTTTGCAACTTTTTGTAACTTTGAAAATACATCCAAATAAAAGTAAAATTTAAAACTAATCATTATCAAGAAGGAGAGCTGCAGAGTAGACTGTTTCTCTTCATTCCCTTGAAATGGTCATTTTTTAAAATGATGTATGACCAAAAGATTAGAAAATAATTCCAATGATTTTAGAAAGTCTATTTAGATAATCAAAATTAGCAGTGAAAGAATTCCTGATAACTAAACTATATGCAAACTGAGAAATGGCCTTTTCTTTTCTGAAATCATTTTTAAATCTAGAATAATTAAAACACTGTAAACACTCTTCACCCCACTGTTTGCTATATGTTGTTTGACAAATCATTTAACCTCCCTGTGCCTCAGTTTCCTTGTCTATGTAATTAGGGTAATTAGGATACTAAGAGTGCCTCCCTCATAACAATATTGTGGGAATGAAAAGAGATAACGTGTTTGCATTGATTCTTCCAGGCCTAGCACATTAAAAAGAGAATTCAGTAAAAAGGTGTCCTCCAGTGTTATAATAATTTTTATTAAATAAAAATTTAATTAAAATCCTACCTTGAAAATACAATGAATGAGAAATGATATCACTTGAAACTAGAAGCAGGAATATAAGCAATTTTTGGAATGAAAAATAAATATAAAGTATTTTAGTCATTAATATTTAACAAAACTTCACAGTTTTAGGTGTTATGGCAAAAACGTACAATTCAAAACAACAGGTTTAGGTATATTATTTCTCATAGAAATTTAGAAATAAATTCATTCACCCACCAACATTTTCAAGCCATAAAATGTACCTTTTGTTTTTTAATTCACACACTAATAACAATTCCTCATACTAAAATAAATTATACCAATCTCCTATTTTGACACAATTTCCTACATAAGGACTAAAAATCCCCAGAAATAGTAATAGGACAAACTGTACACTATCAAAAATCCTAATATATAAGTTGTGCAATTATCAGATATTAAAAAATATACAATATTATTTAATTAACAAACTCATTTATTAAAGATTTTTCAAAACCTAGGTCCTAAGATTGACACATTTCTGTTCTTCCTGCTCCACTTTCCATTCAGAGCACCACACAATGCTTCTTCAGCCAAAAGTTGTCATGTAAATAGACTCCAGGCATGCTTGCCTTGCTAGTCAGCAGACCTGCCCAGACTTGTCCAGATCCCAGCCTCTGTTTTTCTGGAATCCCCCCTTGAGTACTGGATGCTCCCTGGAGTTTGCCATCCTTGGACCTCATATATCTTGGCTGGTGCCATCAAGATTCCTGTGGCAGAGTTCTTCAGACACTTAAAAACATATTCTCTGGATTGGACCAAATGTAGTCCTGGCAGAGCTGTAATTTGTCATTTTTCTATTTTAAGACTGTGGCCAAGAAACCAACTGGCAACGTTGGGAGCCAGATATACTCCCCACCAAACATCCCTTATATTCATTCTCCAAGAACTCATGTCTCTGACTATACAATGAGTGTAAGTTTTCTCAAGAATTTTGGGCCTTACCAAAAAAGTTGGAGGCAAAAGGCATAATCCTGGTAAGGAAGAAGGAGTTCTACCTAGATTCTAGTTGAAAAAAAATTAAAAATCTGTATCTTTTTCAGCACCAAAGCCATCAACAGGATTGAGGGAAGATGGAAGAAATGAAGACAGATACAAAAGAGACAAGGAAAATCATAACTAAAAATTGTACTTTTAGTAAAATTGAAATTTCTGCAACCTGGTTGAAGTTACCTAAGGTGGTCCATATGAGCATCCCTTTGATTAATTTAGCCTCTTTTCCTTACAAACCCAT